CTAACGTCTGTATACAGCGCCTCAAGTCTGCTCTTTGGTTCTCAATCGGCAAGATAGTTGACGAAGAAACGCTCAAGCTTGGTGTCAATGCTACACCACAATTCATTGGGGCCTTGACGGAGATGGTCTGGGCACAGATTGGTAAGCTACAGTTACCTTTGACAGCAAGAATTCGTGCACATGCTGACGTACTTTCCCAACGACAGAGAATATCGGCATGGATTTGAAAAGCTTTGCCAAGTACGCGATTCTCCAACCTTTTTAAAGAATGATACAGGCTGATACTATGTACAAGACATGCTGGGCGGTCTACTATATCCACGGACGACGTGATGCTTCTATCTCGCCGGAACGAGGGCCTAGAGACTGTGCTCAGGAGTTACATGGAAAGCGCCGGCATTCCAAAACGCAAGAAGCGTTGATGGACACACCACATACAAGAATGGCTTCGATGCATCCTAGTATGTGATGATATGGTTCTATCAATCCACCGCTGTCAGCTGTTCTGCGTTCACACAGCGCGTCCACTCACGGTAAATGGCTCATTACGGCGTATGTTTACGACCCACCATGCCAGAAATCTCAAGGTCTCAAGAGGAATCATCACTGATAAGACACGGTATTCGGCACTCGGCAAGACCAGCGCCATTTGAGGCACAGGCAGAGCTATCCTAAAATCTGAAACTCAGAGCACTGAAGGCAGTCTAAGGCTACTGCCAAAGCAAGTCTACGGCCTGTTCACCAGACAAAAAGGACAACATTCAAGTAATGGGTAGCACGATTTGTGAGGACTTCTTGCTAGGTGTGGCATAGGACAGTTTATTGGCTATTCAGCAACACGAGTATATCTCGCATGGTAAAAACACCGCAACGGACTTCCTTCTGGCCGCATTCCTGAGACCCAGCCGTTCGGCATCAAGGGCTAACCTCGACGAGGATTTTGACATGATTGTCTTTGTCATTGACAAGCGCCTTGAACCCTTTTTCCTCAACCTCGTCCATCTGAATCTTCCGGGTGATCATAGATGCTGGTTGAAGCCTCCCTAAGGGGGTCCAGATTAGACACTGCATTTGATCGGTGTCTTGCTTTCTTGACTCACCGGAGGAGATTGCATCCAAGACGTCTTGAAAGTCTCCCTCCTGATACGTCGCAACACCCATGTATTTCCTCTCTCGAAAACACAACCAATTGGGCGTGATGGTTGCGGTCTTCTCCCAGATTGCAATGTTGACGAGGGTGCCTCTAGCACGAATGGCCTGGATGGCCTGGTCAAGCCCAGCTTGCACGCCTGCTGCATCGAAAGCCACGTTGACACCTCGCCCGTCACAGATCTCCTTCACGCGAGCAACCACGTCGTCTTTTGAAGGATCCAGCACATAGTGAGCCCCGAACTTTTTCGCGAACTCCATTCGTCGCGGCGCCATCTCGGACACAATGATCTTCTCGGCTCCTCTGGCCTTCAACGTTTGAATCACTGCGAGTCCGATGGGACCACCACCCAAGATCAAAACCGAATCTCCCTTCTTGAACGGGCTTATGTTGACGGCATGCCATGCTACAGCCAATGGCTCCACGAGTGCTGAGCTCGAGCATCAGTCAACCACTTGCAAGCCAAGGAATTACTCACCTGCGACCTCCATAGAAACGTTTTCAGGAATTTCATATACGGCTTTTCGAGGGACGACCACGTGCTCGGAAAGCCCACCGCCCCAACCTACGATATGTGAGTAGCTCGGGGTTCGAGACAAGAGGATCAACAAACTCACCACTAAGACCGACGAACCCGTTATTGTCACAACAGTTGATATACCCGTCCCGGCACGCACCACACGTTCCATCATATATGATGGGCTGGATGGTGACTTTTGCTCCGACCTTGATATCATACACGCCTTCGCCAACCTCCTCCACTACTCCGCTGAACTCATGACCGAGTGTCAGGGGTACCTTCTCATTGGTAATGGGATGAGGGACGGTGGGCATGATGTTGGCGCCTCCAAGGTACTCGTGCAGATCTGGACCAGCTTCGTCAGCGCTGTTTCCCCCATGGTCGTGGGCCTGCATCCATCATACCTGTCCCACAGATGCCGACATAGGCTGGTTTGACCTAGAGATTTTGCTCAGTCGGCTTGCTCAAGCACAGTCCCGGAGCCGTGCCGACACACCTTCACCTGGCCTCTTCCGCATTGTGGAATGGGAACATCATCGAGTCGAATGTCTCTTTGACCATGAAATCGAAGTGCTTTCATCATCTTGGCGGAGGCTAGACGGATGTTTTGTCGGACGGTGCGATAGAACTGGGCCTCATACAAGGCAGCGTTGATCCAGTGCGAAAAGAAGAAGGATTCATTGCGTTATTATCTACTATGTACAACTTCCTCTCCAACCAAAAGCAATTTCGGCACTGAATCTTCTTCTGTCGTGGAGTAGCATCGCGATCCCGTGTGTGCGAACCTTACAAGCGGGGTATGCTAATTCACCGGATTCAGTGCGGACCACCTCGCCCACCACGCATTACTGAGCACAGTGCTTCAGTTTTGAGATGATCGAAAGACGCAAGAAGACCAAAGTAGCAAAGCCGATGATCACCGCTGGTGGTTTAATCTGACGGCAGCTTCTTAATGGCGCGCCAGTGGGGCATTTTTGAAAATTGAAAAGGGTTGGAAAAGATCAAGTGCGAGCCTGACAGCTGCAGGCTGCACGAGCCAAAAGAGTGCTGCAGCAAAAGATCAGGCTTTCCCCACATACTTTATTTTAAAAGTACCTTGACAATCCTTTCAAAATGCGCTTAACTCCTTTGAGCCATGCTAAATTGAGGATCCCGGAAAAATAAATGGCCCGGGTCAGGAACGAGCGGGGCTTTAGCGGGGGCTCTGGGACATGACCACGATGACTTCATTGCGACGCGAACATTTCCATCCGCCGGTGATGAGGTAACTTTGGCATTCATACTTCCGCCTACCCTACATCCCATCATTTAATTCATTCACAACATTTCCACCTCTTTCAAACGCCCATTCACCTCCTGCAAATTACACTATCCCTCGTTCTATACAATCGATACTCTCAATCAATTCAAATCTCAATTCTCGTCCTCCTCCTTCAACATGCCTTACCCAGAAATGTTTGAGGGTTACATGATCAAGGATCAAAGCAAATGGACTGATTTTGAGAAGAAAGAGGTGAGCGGCCATTGAATCGCTTGCCTCACTCTAACACCTGCCTGACTGTACTTCCAGTTCAAACCGAAGAAGTTCGAAGACCGCGACATCGACATCAAGATTGAGTGCTGCGGTGTCTGCGGCTCCGATGTCCATACCATCACTGGCGGTTGGGGCGAATGCCCGCTCCCAATTTGCGTTGGTCATGAAGTCATCGGTAAAGCGATCAAAGTCGGCGACAAAGTGACCACCATCAAGGTTGGAGACCGTGTTGGTGTTGGCGCTCAGATCCGTGCCTGTTTGGAGTGCAAACTTTGCAAGGCGGACAACGAGAACTACTGTCCTCACATGGTTGGTATGCAGCCCCCACAGGTGTTGACGGGCCCCGCACCTGCGTGCTAATGTGCAATCAGATACCTACGGTGCACCTTACGAGGATGGAACTATTGCACAAGGCGGATACTCCAGCCACATCAGAGCACACGAATACTTTACCTTCCCAATCCCTGACAACATTGAGTCAAAGGATGCCGGACCCATGATGTGTGCGGGTCTAACTGTGTGGAGCCCGCTGGTACGCGCCAAGGTCGGACCAGGAAAGAAGGTTGCCATCCTTGGAATGTGAGTACTCATGTTCAGTCATGCCAGCCTTGTCCCGGCAATTGACATGGTTTCTAGTGGTGGACTTGGTCACTTCGGACTACTGTGGGCATCTGCTCTCGGTGCCGAGGTCTACGCCCTCTCGCACAGCCCCAACAAGAAGGATGACGCCTTGAAGCTCGGTGCCAAGGAATTCATCTGTACAAAGGACAAGGACTGGGCCAAACCCCTGGCCTTCACCTTCGACTTCATCCTCAACAGCGCCGACATGACTCACGAGTTCAACATTCAAGAGTACATGTCTACTCTAAACGTCAACGGCGAATTCCACAATGTCGGTTTACCAGACAAGCCATTGCCACAGATGATGGCGCAGGATTTCGCGCCAAATGGCGCCAAGATGGGCGGAAGCCATATTGGTAACAGGCCGGAGATGTTGGCCATGTTGAAGCTGGCCAGCGAGAAGAACATTAAGCCTATGATCGAGACGCTGGATATAAGTGAAAAGGGATGCAAGGAGGCTGTGGAGAGAGTCAAGGTCAATGATGTGCGATACCGATTCACGCTGACTGGCTACGAGAAGGTCTTTGGGAAATGAAGCAATGAGCGAGATGACTCAGCATGTGATGACAGGTAGGAAGCAATTGGAATAGAGCTATATTTAGAGCAGGTAGGAGATACTGCAAGATCCTCCGGATCCTCTGCTAAGCCTGTCATTTATCATCATGTCTCGTCCCTATCAACAGCGGTCGTCTAATCCGGACCCTGCCCGCGGAACACTGAGATATCTCCTCGATACGCACGCAGCAGCAGAAGTGCATGTCGCTTTCGGCCGTTGGTTAAAAACCCCAACCTTGTGGAACAGGAGGTGAATGTCGTGGTAACTCTTTCAGGCCAGGTCTTTCGAGCAGAGGCGTAGGAACCAGGTAGGTCCGTTTTTCCTGCTCGAGGAGAAAAGATTTGTTTTTTCTTACTGGCTCAGGGGTTCCGTACACTAATCTGTTTGGTCGTGCCAACATCGAGGTAAAGTAAGATTGGGTTTTATCGCGCCTGCGACCGCTGGAACGGCGGACTGTATCCAGGTGTAGCATCTCAGGTACGAGTTTACCCCGCAAACTTCGTCGTCTTTGATCCTTTTCTACGCTGAGATAGACCACCGACCCGGCTCTCTCTCCGTCGCTCTGATCGTCACTCTCTGTTTTCTCGCCCCGACGCCGCCGGCCTGACGTCCCGGACTTTCACCACCCCTTGCAAGTCACGGGCGGTAAGCAAGCTTCCGTCACGGGAACGCTCCATTGTACACGCGCTCTCGTCCCATCCTCACACCGGAGGAACACACCGGACCATCTCCGCTGCTTCGGATGTTCGACTTGCCGCATCCGACGCACGAGTTCCCCCGGCTTGCGTTTTGGCCGCCTTGGCCGAGCGGCGGTACTACTTGGCTCGCTCGACTCGTCTTTTCCGCACTCCGGTTCACCGTCGTCGCTTTCCATTGTCGGCGCCGCTGGCTTGTGAGGTGCGGGTTTGATCGATCGGTGTTTGATCGCTTCGGGATCCAGAGCCGCGTTCGTTGTCTCGGCGGAGATGCTTTGTCGTGGACCGACGGCAGTGGCGGGGCGACGGCCAAGGTCTCGAGGATCGTACCGCTAGCGAGGTTCCGGTGTCGGTCGGCTTGTCTTGGTCAGTGGCGCCGGTAGTGGGGATGTCGGGATTTTGGCTCGGGTGTCTGTTCGTGCGGGGATTGGGCGATGCTGCTTGGCCATAGTCCCCCGTCTGCGGCGGGACTGGAACGGGAGCCTGCACTCGCGTGTTTGGCGTTTTCGGCTGCTTGTAATTCGGCTGGAGTCTAGGTGCTTTTGTCTGTGCTTGAGTATTGGGTGGGGTGTTTCGGCGGGACATATTGGTTTGTATTAGTTAGGCTGGACGGATCGTTTGGATCCGGGGGTCGATAGGAAGCAGGACGTGTTATGGTATAAACGGCGGGAATGAGATGGCTGGGCGGGATGACGGAGCTAAGCTTCGCTTTGGCAGTGAGTGCGGACACCTCTCACACATCTATCCGCCAGTGCCAGAGTTCGGGGCTCTATGTGGAAACAGACGATGACATGGAACGGAGAGTTTGCGATCTCTCTAAAGGCTTCGCCGGGGTTCTAAAAAGCAATGGCACATCAACTGTACAGTTTATTCATCGACCTGTTAAGGATCTCTTTCTCCAGAAAGGGTTTTGAACTCTTGACTACTCGTCTGCGGGCATAGTGGTCGGCCGTGGCCATTTTTGGCTTTCGAGGTCGTGTATCAAATACCTCGCTATGGAAGAAGTTCAAGGCTTCGCTATTTCTCTTTCGAATATGATTGAACCCAAATTTGATGAGGTGTTTGCCTTGCTGAGGTATTCGCTGGAATCATGGCTTCTGCATGCCAAAGAGGTCGAGAATGCGGATATGTCTCAGGATGATCTAGCGGCTTTGGACTCTGAATACACAAATGACATGCTGCACTCTTGGGTTGCGAGATACGAACGACTCAAAGCTTGGGTAGATAAAGATCGCTTCTTTGAGATGACACTTTTTTACACATCGCGTCGAAACACAATCTCATCAGTGTTGTGAATGCCACCTCGGCTCAAAATTACTGGGCGGACCAGACGGACAGATGGTCTCGGACGTCTTTGTCCGTTGCCGCCGAAGAAGGGCACAAGGCACCGGTAGAGTTGCCAGTCAACCGAGACGACGTCGACGCGAACTCGACGGACTGCTGCCGGGCTACGCCATTGTTGTGGGCCGCTGCAAGGAGGGCACGAAGCTATGGTAGAGTTGCCGATGGATCGAAACAACGTCGACGTGAACCGGACGGGCCTCGGCGGTGATACCTCGTTGCATTCGGCTGCTGCGAGAGGAGGGCACGAAGCTGTAGGAGAGAGATCGGTAGATTGGGGCGGCGTCAACGTAGACTCGAAGGGGGTGCAGGGAAACACGCCCTCATCGGATGCCGCTCGAGATGGGCACAGAAAAGCAGTGGAAATCCTTCTTGAAAGACGGGTTGATTTGAATGCGAAAAAGAGTCAGTCGACAGCCGCTCTGTTCAGGGTCTCTGTCCACGGCGACTATGAGGTAGTGAAGCTACTGCTCCAGCGAAGTAGCAATGCAGACCACAGAGACACAAACGGCCGCACTCCTTTGCCTCATGCCGCTGGGAATGGGCATGAGGAAATCGTAAGATCGTTTTGTGGAGAGAAGCGATATCGATGTTAATTCGACAGACACGACTGGCAGAAGCCCGTTATCCTGGGCCCTTGAAATTTGGCTTTCTGCCTCTTGGAATCCACACCTGGAGAACTCTATGCGTGTGGTGGACTTGTTATAAAATCGACACGACATCAGCGTACATGGTGAACACAAGTGGGTCTCGGCAAGGTACTCTGAATGGAGAAGACGCCTGCCGAGACACTGGGAGGGGTCCTATTTGCTGGCCACTGAAAACATTTGATTCTTGATAGCATCCTATCGACAACAGGATAAGAAACGCATATCAAAATTTGCACTCGAGAGCTACCGAGGAGACACCCCGGATTCTGAAGAAGGAAGGAAGCGGAATAAGAAAAACATTGGTGCTGAATCGACTCGGCCAGTTTTGTCATTCGGTGGATCTGCAGCTAGTTCTACCTAGTCGTAAAACCAACATCCCCCGACGGTATACACGAAGTGAAGACTTTGTCCATCCATAGCTCCTCCCGTGCCGGGTATTTCTTGCGAGTGTATTCCATTTCCAATACCTTGAATGGGTGTGACGGGGCTGAGGACTGTGCCAATGAAGCCAGCAATGTCGCTAGGCGCTATCGATCGTACCATGTGTTGTTGTTTTTTTTGGGGCGAAAGGGATGTGGTTCTGGGCGCAACTTTCTAGAGCGTATTGGCGGGGGGCATTATCTCGATGTCGTGGATGAGGACCGGACCCGGCGGTGATGAACTTGGATGAAGTAAGGCAATTGAGGATAGGTTCAACTAGGAGGTTGTCATACTGGCTATCGAAAGACACGACCGAGCAGTAAGCGTGATCGTGTCCTTCTCCCAAGCATCGACTCCATCCGTAACCTTTCACCCCCTGTTTCCTGTCAACGTGCCGTGGGCTTTCCCCCAGGCCTCGGCAGCCTCTCGACGTTTCTTAGCTACAATCGGTTCGTTGTCGGGCGGGCCATCTTTCTTTGGCGGAGAGGGGGATTGTTCGAGCCCTTGTGGGATGGCCACTGGTGCCTCTTTGAGAGGGTCTGGGTTCTGCGCTAATGAAACTTTTGGCGTTTTTGGTCAGTCTTGTGGTTGGTGTTGTGAGCGTTTTAGATCTTTCTTATTGTGTCATTTTTGGTGATGAACGGGTAGTGTCGTGCTGGATGAGAACGCCAGTATACCGCTCGAGTGTGTAGGAGAGGAGAGAGGAAGTTGGAAGAATTCTGATGCCTGCTCCTTTTCCTTCCCGAGAACGCTTCCTTTCGAATGATAAGTTGTCAGAACCGGGATACTACTGGATGAGGCGATTCGCCTTCCAGAACTTCTCTTTCTTATTTGACAGTATTGACGGATTTTGGAAACCGCTGGTCCTCAAAGAAGAAGAGTTAGCGCCATGTTGTCGAGGTTGATAATTCTATGAAAGTATGAGGTATGTTATTCCTCTCCATACCATGAATACATCTGTGCATAGCGCTTTCATATCTATGTATCCTCTAGAAACTGCAGCTCTCCGAATGGCCCGAGAGTCTCTTCCTGCTTAGTGACGCTCGTCTACCGACAGGATGTTGCAGTCACGAAGCTCTGGAGTACGAAGTGTCAGTCCGAAGCGTCGCAGCAGAGTGAAGGAGAATATCAGCCAGAGAATAAATTGTGTCGCGCTTCTCTGTATACGTATGCTTTAGCTGTGACGCTGTCTGGGTTGTAAAGATTCTGGGAGCAAGCTGCGGCGCTGTTGGATGCTTGGACACTATCATGTGATGCATTGGTCAACAGTAATCATTTCTAACGCCCTCTAACGCCAATGTTTGCATTAGTCTCCTTCGTGCTTACCTTTCTGGACTTGGCATGGATCACATTCCAGCCAACGCGCCAATCTCCCACGTTGTTTACATACAAGAATCCTCCTCACTCTTTTCAGCGTCCATCTCCCACCCTTCGTTCCTCTTTCCTGATGTGACAAGGAGCAGGCTCCCACTCAACAAATCACTCTCTCGGACCCAAGAACCATTCACCATGAGATTCTCCACAACCCTCCCCCTCCTCTCCTACCTTGCACCCCTCGCTCACGCCGCCCCGCAAACGCACTACTCAACAGTCACAATCATCCCAGTCCCTCTGTCGTCAACCATAATACACTACCACCCCACCGGCCCTCCGTATCCCTCTGGTAGCGACAAACCGCGGTTATACAACGCACACCATAACGCCTCAGCAAACATATCCCTCTCGTACACGCTCTCGTACCCTACCACCAACCTGCCGCCAACTCCGCGTATATTCGCGGGGCCATATGCTCAACCCTCGATTTCGCACAACGCGACGATGACGCCGAGGCTGGGGGATTTGAATACGACGCTACCGCCGTTGCCGTGTACGCTGAGTGAGTTGTATTGTAACAGCGATACTGCTTTTTCTCTCTGCGCCCCAGCGGTAGGGGGTGGGAGCAGGTACGTTTTCATGGGTGCTGTAGCGAATGGGACGTGGTGTCACGGCGGGAGGATTGAGAAGGCGGACGGAGGGGACTGCAGCCCCATTGGACATTTGAAGTGTGAGGGAGAAAGAGGGTTCTTCTTATGCGATGAAGGTATGTCCCACTTCGAATCGAGTGACGAAAGGAGATGATGGGACGAGTGCTGATGGTTTTGACACAGGTGGCTTGGTGCACATGGGTAGCGCAACCAATGAGACTACCTGCGTAGATGGAGAGATCGAGGTCGTCACCTTGGGGAGCTGATGGCAATGAGAGAGCCGAAGATGGATCCGCTGGGCTTTGCGGTTCAAGAGTGGGGATAAAGCATTCTGGAAGGCGGCTCATGGCGGTGACTTTGGATTTCATTTTCTGTCCGGGGCATCACATTCGGCGTTTCGGTATGCTGTAATTCCAGGGCGTGAAGTCAAAGTAGTCATGTTGCACAATGGACCAAGATCCGTTCTCGTCTTGAGGAGGTAGAGTATAGGCCTATGGGAATCGCTGCTTGAGACATCTTGAGAGGAAATCATAATTGAAGGTAGAGAGAGGGCGTATGCTGGAGGGTGTGTGTTAGACGTGGAAGATACACCCAACCAAACAAACAAACGGCGCAGCCGCGCCATATAGACCCCCAGCCCAAAACCCCCCCACTCGACGACCACGATCCCAGCCAACCATACGGTCCGAAAGCGCGGACCGGGTACTATCCATCCATGCCCATGGGCGATACGACACCGGGAGAACTGTATACCCGCCATGGACGAGCGAAATTCAGCTATGGGAGTCGGGTATTCCGTCAATGAGATGCAACGGTGACTTGATTGGGGGGGAGAAGGAAAAAGGGACTCTCGTTGCAGCCGAGCCTGCCGCAATGGGCAGGGCTGGGAAGCGCTAGGAAGGCTACCGCCTGCAGGGTTGGTTTTTCAGCTGCGCTTACGCTTTGTCGCTGTGTCGGATCTTGGCCGATCACTTGCTAGGCTGCGAGTGTCTTGAGTTATTATGTCTGAACGAAAACGGCGCAAGTATGGGTCACGTAGATACCTGTAGAGAGAAAACACTCTACATCTGTAAAGATGTTTGAATGAGGGATACATGAGTCACACAGAGTCTGTGGTTAGAGAGACATGGTGCTTATGGGTAATCATGTTGAGTGAATACCTATCGAAACGGACCAGAATGATACCGTTTATATTACAGCGAACTGCCCGTGAATCGCTTCTGTGTGTATCGCGAAGAAGCCAATTGTCCGCCGATGTTGTGTAAACGCGCCGACCAACCAGTAATGAACGAGATGCGTCCATGTAGATACCCAAAACAAGCATTCTACTATCAAAATAGAACCTGCGAAAGCAAAGACCCAAAGCGTGTCAAGCAAAGAGCTTCCAACCGTGTGTATACGAAAGGACTGAAGACCAAACCCTTATATCGAAACAATGATATATCACCCATGTGTACGTCATCCTGCAGCAACACTGTAGCACCTGCTGCTTTCTACCCAAGATATGCGTGCGACTGAAACCGAGCAGTCTACTCGTCGCCAGGTCAGGTTGGCTAATGGGCCAGGACCTGAGGGTCTCCTGAATCGTGTTCGGCATCTTCCTTGAACGTTTGGGTACCGTCGTGGGCACAGAAGCTATCATGATGGAGAGCCAATGTGCCACCCACTGGACGCTTCAAATTCTTCAATAGGATTAGCATTCGTCTGTTTCTTGAACAAGAAAGGCGACAGTGACTGTGGAGACAGAGCACTCGGCTCTACTTACCTTGCATAGGCTGCATTTGGCGCCCGCTCTATCAACCTTCTCAGGACAATCGTATATCGGCTTGTTGACGCAGAAGTAGTCAACATCGGCCGGGGCAGGATCACCGCCAAGATTGAACGACTGGCGAGGAACGAAGGGCCAGGTTGAGTCGTTGACAGTCTCTGCATCAAGATCTCGGGTAGCAAGACCGTCGACAGCATTGGTCCCCTGCCATCATCAAATTTTCCGCATGAGTGATGAGTTTGTCTTAAAAAGAAGAAAGGGTAAAACTTAGTCACCTTTTCGGACACACAGACCCTCCCTCGCAAGCCGTAACCGACGCGGAGCCGGACGACCTCATCATCACCCTCGATGGGAGGATTGACGGAGATTTTCCAATGCATCATGAAAAAAGGGGCGACAACGAGCAAATATTTCTTGCAATGCTTTAAGCTTTGAAGGTGCTGCAAATCAAATTGTTCCAGGAGGCAATTTAGGGCGAAGGTACTCTCACGAAAAGTGGAAAACATTCATCGCTGGGGAGAAAGCTTTTAAGGAGACTCATACAGACACAACCTGTGCAGTTCGGAGAGGATGCCACCTTGGGGCTGAAGACCGCAAGCATTAGAGACTCCACAGCATGTACGTTACTGATGATGCACGTCATACTGTCAGTTCTGGGATGAGCATTGCTATTGGACAGTAAAGACCGAGGACCATCGGATAAGAGTGTCCCCGTGGCGTTCTCAGTCGAAGCGATCATGCGATCGTAAAGGAAGCGTGGAAATGTCAAACTCCTTCCGGATGACAGCGGGATGGCGATTTCCTTCTCCATGGTAGAGTTTGGCCTATACTGTGTTGGTAGAAGTGGGAATCCTCTGTGGCAGGCTGCACGTAATTGTGTTCCTCCGTGCCGCAGAGCTGAGGACGCGGCTGCAGGCGGCGAGCATTGAAGGCCCGATTTTCTAGGCCTCTGTCCAGTTGTGGTCAAATCAGGATTTCCCAAGGCATGAAACACAGTCAGACAGGATTGAATGTTAGTATCTAGCCGCCTATCAGAATAGTTGGCCGTAGCCGCCAAACCCGCGCCGAGCCACGGTCAAAGAAACGCTTCCGCACCAGCTTGAGGATCAGGCTGAGCTTCAGCCCGTTGTGACTGTGCTGAGTTTACTGATATGGACTGTGGCCAATGACATGAGGGAAAAGCTGGAATGCCAATCTTAACGAAATTACCGCCCTAGCAATGGCACCGGTACGCAGCGCCTCTCAAGGATGCCGACGTGCATCATCTGTGCTGTAATATAGGCGTGTGACTGCGAAGCTGATGAGAGTGATTGGACGACTGATGACGAGAGAAAGGGAATAGCTCCTTCGGTAGGAGAATTCCATGAAAGCCGCGTTACTCCGCGCGAAGACTGCATGAACCAATCGTCACGTTACCACAATTCGGCCGAACGGTAGACAAGATTGATCTGCAGTATCTTAAGAAGGATGGACGAAATGTAGAGGAAAAGGCTCTATTGGTTGCTGGACGATATTGCCGTGAAGCAAGTGGCGTTGCGGCACTCGGAACGCGACAAGTTCTCAACTCAGCACACAGGCAGCAACGAAACAAAACGCAGTGAGCGGTGATGCAAAGTAGAAGCATCGGTGATTTCACAAGCAAGCAAGGAAAGACTGTCACTGCCTTCTGTTTGGAATGCCTGCTCATACAAGGTCGCTGTCGCAGAAAATGGCGTGACAGTCCGCGGTGTTGGCCACGTTGGCCATCAAGGCAGAGGCGCCGTACACTGCGGTCACCTCGGTACTCGATGTAACCTGCTCATTTTACGCATTTGACATGAAACTGATAACGCAAAGCTGTACAGCAGAGTACCTAATTCCAAATCCACAGTACGGAAGGTATTGCCGAATGAGCATTGAAGCTTCGCGCTCTTCCCGAAAAGGAAGGTGATTCTCAAGGCCAGGCTCCCAGCTCATGGTAGGCTATTGTTGCTGTACCTGCGTCGTGTTCGAGGCATGATCAGCGTCAACCTTTAGCTGTCGATCTGTCGAAATGATGGTGGAGTAGGTTTTGGAGAAAGCATCGATGTTCCGCTTGGGAGAAGCATACCAAACCTATTGCTCTGTACAGTCCGTGTTGGAAAGATAAGGTCCATTAATCCGAGCAGAACACCTGTGAGCAGCACCATGTGCCCCTCATTTAATCTATCTTGGAGGGTGGTGAAAGGTCATATGAGCTTGAGAGACAAGGTACCTGCTCGTTGAAAGTGGGGTACATCGTACCTGACGGCGGGAAATTGACGCGAGCATGTGATATGGAAGCGCTAGACCAGGTCTCGAGGCTTCTAGAAGAGGCTTTCGATTGTCCGACGTCCAAGTCACAAGGGTGTCTTCATTTCGAGAGTGACCAAAATCAATGACAGTGTCTGCAGATCGACGACGGTGGACATAGACGGGACAATGATCCTGGTTGTAGGAAGTCAAGATATGTGGCGACAGCTACCCATATCACCGTGAATCGATCGGCGAACGGAATCCAACGTTATCGTTCTCATCCGACAGGGTACGGGCCAAGGCTCATCTAAGGTTAAAGGTGCGGTCCGTTCATAAGCAGGGTAGACCCACAATATGTCGTTGGTGGGAGTCTGTCACCGCGGTCAGGCGTCGCTATGTAGCTATCAGGTGCTCACATGCCGACAGACGTATTGAATCCTAGCAGAAAGTGCTTGCTCAAGGCGTAGTTCAAAGATCGTAAATGAAGTCCGAAGCTATCGGGGATGCTCCGTCCAGAATTGGCGGGATTGCCATTGATCAGTCATGGGAAGGGTACCAACTCGATATTCCGCCCGATCTGTGTCGGGCACGCAGTTGTAGATGGGGGCTTAGCCTTTGGAAGCTATTCATAGGATGGAAGAAGCCGAGGAACACTGTCCTGATTCAGATGGGAAGTTGATCTGCAAGGTACGGAGACAGTCTGAATAGTTACAAGTCCTGAGCAGCGAGAGCGATGGTACATTATTTTTCTTTTGTTGACGGGAACATGATTTGCGACTCGAGTGTGGGGGTCTGTGCCGAGGAAGGAAAGGGCTGCCCGTAGCGCTGGTTGCGCTGCTCTCTCGGGGGGCGGTTTCGGGGGGCGGGCAGGGCTAATAATGCCAGTCCGCCTTGCCCTATCATGGAAGGAATTTCATCAGGGTCCACGATATGGCCTCTTCATTTCTATTATTAAGTAAGGAAGAATGCATCATGCCGCGGTTCATGATGGCAGAGTCGCAATAATTGAATGGATTGGAGGCGATTTGAGAGCAAGAGGCGGAGAATAGTATCCAGATGAGCGAGATTTCGCCTCCCATCTCGCTTGGGAGGTTTTGCATTTTGTATGATTGGATCAAGGCGCAATTGCAGCCTCAACCTGCCGGTTTATGATTTCCCCGCAAGACAAACAAGATACCAAGATACCAAGATACCGTTCCACCATCCCGCCCTATCCATCAGACTTTGGGAAACTAGAAGGCCGAATGATAGAATCGTTCCATGCAGCTTCTACCGTGCTGAAACTAAGGTAGCCCTTCGGATTCGGAGCCAGCTTCTTAAACATTCTTAGCCAATAACCATGGTCCATTCAATATACCTAGGTAGTTTTGTTTCCTTTTTGTTTGCAAGGCCACTAATCATAACCCTATAGGTACTCTATGGCAAAAATATAATATGTATACCTACCTATTATGCTACCATACTGTTGTACTCTAAAGCACGGATGCCGTTGTTTCTTGTCGATCATCCACCACCCTTCTTTTTGGATTTTGGAGTTTTTTTAGCTGTCCCGCAAACCTCGGTCGGCGCCGTCCAACTGGGAAAAAAGAGGGGATCTCTCTTCTGATTCGCTTGCCTTCAAAAGCACACTCACATCATTTTCTCATGCAATCCACCAACCCACATCCTCCATCACCCGCTAATCCATGTAATCCCATTCACCTTATCTGCATTACCTCCATACGCTAATCCTTCATCAACCAATTGACTCATTGACACCATCTTTCCCTTCAACCCCCCCTGCTCGGCGCCCGTTCAGCATCTTGGACATTCGTTATCGCCTTGCGCCTTTGCGGTTGCGTCCCTCCGCCCTCAGTGTGCCGACTCCTATAGGGGTCAAAGGGTGCAAGGAAGCAAGACTACCATGGAGCACAACATGAAAAAAGGGCAGAAGGCCATGGAGCGGCCGTTGCTCGAAATCGATTCGCTACCTCTTGCACACCCCGGTCGTCTACCAACGGCCCTGCATCTAAAAGGATCCCACTACACCTCAACGATCCAGCCCCTCTCGTCATTCTTTTAAAGAGCTCGCGGTACCTCGATACTCGTTCATGTGTTGCTCAAACCGGACCGTCACGAGCTCTCCTGGCCATCGACCATACCTTTCACAACCCAATGGCTTCCCATATAAGCTCAAGTTGTTGATACTCTCTAGCTCTTCATCATACAGGACCGTCGCCCTTGCGCACACATAGCATCGCTGCTTGCCCGCCTCCGAGACGAGCTCCAGTTTTCCCTCACACCACCCAAATCGACCTCGGACTACACTCGATCATGTCAGCTACGAAGACAGAGACCGAGGCGGTCAAAATCGAGCCTCAACAAGCGGCCCAACCAGCGGAGTCTCCCCGCAAGCGCCGCAGAAGAGCCCCGGCCACTGGAGCAGCAGACGACTGCTTCGCCTGCCAAGAGCGCCAAACCAAGTGTGACAGACGAAGACCGTACTGTACACCATGCCTCGACCAGGGCAAAGACTGCTCAGGCTACAAAACACAATTGACATGGGGCGTTGGAGTCGCCAGCAGAGGAAAGCTACGAGGCCTCTCATTGCCCATTCCAAAGTCGAAAAGAGCTGCGCAAAGCATGGATGAGGAAGATGACAAGAAGGCCATTGGTCCAAAAAAGCTGGCGAAGCTCGGCCCTACACGCAGAACATCCGATGCCCTGGACGGTGCTCATTTGCGCAGTCCGACCAGTGCTACCACAACCGGCACCACTGGCACGTCTACCTCGTACAACTTTGTCAACATGGACCCGAATTCGTCGGCGTCTACCACGTCACCGTCGCCTATGCTGCCTCCGCCAAGCTTCGATTGGCGCGCCCCTTCCTCTCTCTTCCATGGTCGTGATTCACGGCAAGCTCGCAAAAGACCTAGGAGACACACTTTACAGCCACTTTCCGTGCCTACAATGCATCCTACAAGAGACTATGGGGTCATGCCAATGACCGCTAGCGTCATTGGTGGGTATGGCCACCATGACTTTGGACTGTCTTCCCAGATCTCCCCCATGGTACCAAGCTTCACTGGCTATGGCATCGTATCACCAACCTATAAAGACTTCAGTTCTCAATCAATGGTACAAAGTCCCTGCGAAAACAATTTTTACCTGAGTCATCAGACCCTGGGGTGGCCGCGTGATAACATGAGCTCGGGTCTTGGCTCCAATCACAGCAACCAAGATTACCGGCAGCAGGACACTTTTTATGCAGACTTGATGGCGACCGCCAATCCTACGGACAGCATGCTATCCAATCAGCAGACCTTCCCACCACAAGACCTCAGCGTCACTAGCGCTACCGACTCCACTTCGCTTACAGCGGGCAGCGAGTACCCAGTCTACGCAAGCCATTCATCAGCGTTGGTAGCCGACGATGTTGGAGATCATTCGTCCTCGCTTGTCCCAAGATTACTCCCATCGCTATCCATTGGGAACACACCGAAGCTACAATACCTCATCGATTATTATGACAAGGTCATCTCCCCGGTGATTGTTGCTTTCGACGGGCCAACCAACCCTTACCGCTCGCACATCCTGAGCCTCGCTGTCGAGAGTGAGACACTACAGCATGCGATTGCCGCTCTATCTGCCAGCAATCTCCGGATGAGGAGAGGACACAATCCTCTGTCGACCAACAGAAGTAGCCAAAGTTTATCGCCGTCATCGCATGATCATTCGGTCAGGAAGTCCTTGATCGCTCACAGCTTGATGGACGTTGGCATAGACCGTCTGCCGGAAACATCTGCAAGCGAGCCATCACACGAGGAGCTCTACCACAAAGGCGCATCCATCAAAGCTCTGAATGAACAGCTCGCCGATCCTCTCCGTCGCAAGGATGACTCCATTTTGGCCACCCTCCTCATCTTATGCCTCTACCATATCTGCGACACTGGCGTTGCAAAGTTCAAGACGCAGTTCGCAGGGGTGAAGAAAATACTTGCCCTTCGCGGTGGCACCAAGGGAGACAACTCCAAAGCAACCAATTGGCTCACCATCATGTTCACATGGTTTGATGCCATGACTGCTAGCGTCAATGATCGAGAAAGCCAGCTCGACGGCGATGACTTGGACATGAGCTCATTGAATGGCGATGAGTGGGCACTGGAGAACCTTGCCGGTTGTGATGGTAGGCTTTTCAAGCTCATCGCCAAGCTCGGCCGACTCAACCTTCTCAGTCAGAATAAGCCTGTCGCGGGTTGCTCTATTAAGAGTTCGCCAACCGCAAAGGTGCAGCAGCTTCCGAGTCCAGTCACCAAGAACCAGGACTACTACAGCATGAACTATAATCGCTTCGATGGCAATGGCTGGTCAGCGATGATCGAAGAGGAACCGGCAGAGGCCGACACTAGAGCGCAATTCTGGAAAGAATGGCATGAAATTCGAGATAAGCTCCGTGATTGGCAACTCGATGGCACAATAACGCCACCAGCAGAAGGTGATCGACGCGACATATACCACATATCTGAGTCTTTTCGCTACTCAGCTCTTCTCTACACCGAGCGGTTGGCATACCCACACCTGCCGTCGGCGAATGCCAAATTCCAGAGTCTGGTGACGCAGGCGCTGTTCCACATCTCAAATGTGCAGTCTGACGTCTTCCTCCTCTGGCCTCTTTTCATCACTGGCACTGAATGCGTCAGTGAGCAAGGTCGCTACCTCATCCGTGAGCGATGTTTGGACATCCAAAAAGACTCGGGCTTCTTCAATAACATATCAGGACTGGAACTCCTGGAGAAGATATGGCGTGATGACGAAACGAATGATGAGCAAACGCCAAGGTTGACGGCGAGTGGCTTGCCTATGGCAACCAATGAATTTTCTACCATGGGCGGGCATGGTTTCAAATGGCGTAAAGCAATGGAAAGGGTCGATGGGGAGTATATAGTGGTCTGATCTTATGACTTTCGGGCTTTCTCATTGTTTACTTTTCCGTTGAAACCGATTTGTTAGGCATCAACATCCATTGTTTCTCTCTTCTACCTACTGTTTCTTCTATCTACTGGGCTAGCAATGGATGTACATACGAGCACAATGGAATCAACGATTTTGGAAAACCTTTGGTCCACACCAGCTGTCGCACCGTGAATCATTCAATCAGATCAATCAAACATCCTCTCTACCGCCGTAGGCATATAGAGCGTACTTTCGCAGCACCCTGCCTCCCGAACCTCTGGACCCTGCTCTCGCGCACCGCAACACCGATCAGATGTGCGGGACCCCGTTGTGGATGGGACAAGCATATCTGTTACTAACGCTATGGATGGCAGCTGTAGCTGGATCCGTATGGGGAAGTGAATGATTTTCTGAGGGCTGGGTCCATCGCCCACAGTGTCTACATGCTGGACGCGCTGTTCGGCGACTGCCGTGTGATATCCGTACACCCGCCGCGATACATGTACCCAGCTGATCCGTAGCAGGAGCCATTGACTGTGCGTGGATCTCCCGGACCGCAACGGGCGCTGTGCTCACCGCTTGTTGGGTTACACACGCAGTAGGGAGTCTCCGGTAAGGCTTGGTTGGGATTGTAACAGGCTGGCCTTGCATCTGCGAGTAGGGTTTGGTAGCAGACGGATCACGTATTTGGATACGGTCCGGTGTTAAGGGGCATGAAGGGGGATTATCAGAGAATGACAGAAGGGTGTGGGGAAGCTTAGGAGATATGGAGACATATTTGGGTTGCGAGGAGGCGAGATTATGGGATAGGAAAGAGGCAATGCTTTGCGAAGATAGGAGGACATGCTTAGAGATGTCAATTACATTCTCAAGCAGCCTCGGTTCATCCTTTGTAGGGGACGCCTTTGAGTGGTACACCATAGGGTTATAGCCATCGCCAGGTCTCCCCCTCGAGCTGTGCGTCAACGTAGACGATCCAAGGACTGTCGTCTGTTACCCCTAAAGAAGTCCCTGATGCAACAAACCTCGGACGACAGGCTGTCTCGAGGAGTCGAGATCTGGTCTCCGACAGCATGATATAAGACCTCACATCTGCCCTCTGACTGCGGATGATTCCTATCGTATGCCGCACAGTGGACGATTTGCAATAGACATTGGGAGGAAGAACGTGAAGTTGAAAGAAAAAAAAAAGAAGAACAAAAAAGAGTCAACAAGCCAAACCCCCACCTCACGCCAGCAGGAACCAGATGTAATCGTACTCGCCGCTCCACAGGTAAAATCTCTCTGCGCTGTCTCCAGACTGAAGGATGATTCAGACTCTTAAGGATGACAATCTTCGCATGTTGCCAGTACGAGTTGAAATCCACTGCGGAGCTCGAACACGGCACCTGTAGCCCCCGATTGCGCTGGGTGAGGCGGGGAAGGCGAGTTTCCTCTGCGCCATTACAGCATGAGATTAGTATGCTGCTATTTTAGGTTATATTCAGTTGGAAATGGAATCATTTCATTCCCTCTTTTTGAACAAGTATTTGACAACAAGATGTAGGGACAAAGAACATCTTGAGACCTATCTATGTCCACAACTTACGTATCAAGACTCCTCCGTCAGAGGCTGTTATTCTGGTGCTAGATATGCGCACTTCTTCACGATAATGGACTTGACAGAAACACAATCCCTATGTGGTAGCCGTCTTGTAGTAATCGTGCAGTGCTCGAAAAATTCTATATCAAAAGTGTCACTAGAAGATGCCAATAGGCTCCGTTTACCAGTTCCGCTTTACATAAAACCCAGGCTCCTCAAAGTCACCTGTGCAAAAGCCAACAACGCAACCCCAAGAACAATGCCAACGAGAACAGCCTCCATCTGCGTCCCTATCCTCCTTATCCTCGCTTTCAATAACGTAACCCATACCCTATCCCCACGATCTCGCATCGCACTTCTCATACCCGGACACCCGTCCAGACTACTCGAATTGTACTCTGCCTGATAGTCCAGTAGCGTATTAGTCTCAACCTTCCGATGCGACCAATGACCCATCGTATCACGGTCCAGCAGTATCGGTTCCGTCTCTCCAGAAGTTGTACCCTCGGACGTGGGTGCTGTGGTCAAGAGAGGTACACCGAAGCCACAAGACGTCTGGACCTGCCCCCTTTTTTTCAACCGCAGACTCAGAAACGGCCAGGCAGGGCCGGGAACACATACCTTGAAAACGTCCAACGAAATCACCGCCCTAGCGCCCTCGATCCTCTCCTTCCCCATCCGTTGCAACAGTGCCTCAAACTTCGGATCGTCCCACTCGACGACCTTTCCCGTACAGAAAAACCTCAGGATCCTTGGGCTCTTGGCGAAAGAACAGAACATGATGGTGATCCTGCCGTTTTCGTAGACGTGGCTGATGCTTTCGCTGCCGGAACCGGTGGCGTCGACGTAGGCGGCGTGGTTGGGATCGAAGATGGAGAACGTGGATGAGGGGAGGCCTTTCGGGGAGATGTTTACGTATTTGCCCGTGAGGGGGGCGGAGGCTGTGAAGAAGACTTGTTGGTCGAGTGCCTGGGCGGTGATTAGATCTGGTTTTCTCGATAGCGGTTACCTGATCTGGAGAAAGGAAAGGGGGCGAACCCAATCTCGTAGATTGTCCGGGATGGAGTCCCAGAATTGTACCATTGCGCAGATTGCGGAACACGAATACTGTTCTAGGGTTATAGGAGGAGTCAAAAGTGTATGCGACCGAAAGTACGGGCTGTTTAGTACATGAAAATGAAAAAAGAAAGAGAAAGCTGGAGTGGAGAATGAACGGCAGTAAACATTCGCTTAAATCCTACACTACCCGCGTGCGCTATCGACAGATTAAGATAATGCTGCTTTAGAAGGCTTTACGGTGAGTGGATTTTCAACATCGGCTTTGCAAAGCTTGGAGGGCTAAAGAGGGGTTACTTGCCACATTGCACTACTGGTTCTTCTTCTAATGTATGGTTTTCCTTACCGAAGAGTCCACTCCCGAGGGTCCCGGGCTTTCTACCTTGTGGGATTTGTCATCACAAGTACCTTGTGCCATAAGACACAATCATGACCAGGCTGCTGCCGTCTTTGGGCGAGCCTTTACTGGCTCTGTTATGCCGGAGAAGTAAGGAAAGGAGAGATGGGGTTGCTGGCTAGTGCGCATACACTATGCTTTTCGGTGATGAGCAGCGTCGTGTTCATGGGGTCAATGGTCTTAGATATGGAACCGGAATGTTAGTGAGTTTCAGAAACTGTGTCTACGTGTACTGTCCAACGAGGTAATGAACCGAGGTTTGATGGGTAGACAACCGGAGACGGTCTTTCGAAGAGACAATCGCAAATCTAGCGGATAACATACAAGCCAATACGCCAGTATTCAAAGGGTGAAGAGCCACTGAAAGGGACGATGTCTTAGTAAGAAATGCCGGTCTCAAACGCCATGCTTTTGCGATTTCGTCAAAGGACGTAAGTACCTAGCAACTGAGATAGCAAACCTCAACGAGCTAGCCGTCACTCCCAGTACGAACGTACGGCAAACAGCTTTTTCTGCGTCCCACTATTCTTCATGATAGCGTCAATCAGGGCATAGAAAGACTTGCGGAGGATGCCAGTCGTAATCCATGTTGGATTCTCCGGTCTTGAGTCTCACATTCCGCCCTCTCTGACTCATCGAGGCAGATTGCGACATCTGCACATGCCAAGGACATCTAATCAATCATGCAGTGAAATAATCTTCTAGAGCTTCTCATTAGCATGACCAAAAGGACGGTGTAGAAAGCGGGCCCCGAAGCTTTTCTTGAAACTCGTTTGAAGCCCCTGCTCCCAATCGTCCCTAGAGCTCTTTTTCTCCTCAGCTCACCACCATCCTGAGATCCAGCACCCATTCCCAGGGCAGACTTTTCGAAGTCGCTGCCACAGCACTAATTCGTGCAGTCGGACCTTTCATGTTTTTTCATGGCCGGATTCACAATCGCGACCTCTTCCTCCGTCCTGCCATTTCTGTATACCCCCACTTCACACCAGTGTGCATCTTTTAAAATTCGGTGAATGGGCTACCGCAGGGACTTGAGATAATATGGAGACGAGTGGTTGGTCGGCAGGCATTGCGTAGGCATATTTCTTTTCGCTCTGGCGTTCTACCACGCTTGGCTCTTCGGGCCTGATTGCTGTATGGAACATCGTGGTGTGAGCTGCAATGTGAGTCGGCGGAGTGGTATGTGCTGGATACGAGTTAGTGATATATTATCCGGATGTTGGCCGTTGTTGATGTTAAGAAAGTTGAAGGAAGGATAGAGAAAGCCTGTGGCCGGCAGAGAAAACGGAAGGAATACGCGAGCCGAAGAGTCCGGTGCGAGCTTCAACACAACTGCAGGCCAGGAGATAGGGCATTACGCACGAGATTACAAGCCAAAGGGAAAAGGGCTTGTCCAACAATGTTCTTTGATTCCGTTCTCATGTTGTCAGATCTCGTAAATATAGCCTTACTTTCATCGAAGCATAAAATGCTCTGATTTATCGTACATATAAGCCATCTCATGGCATCATCTCTTATGAACGCTTTGCCGCCTATGTCAATGCAACGCCCACTGTACGCCTGCTATGCTGGGGGTATCAAATGAAATGGTTGACTACAAGAAGTATTCGGTGCGGCGATTAGTCGTCGGCGGTATGTGACGCTCCTTCTCGGAAACGGCAGAGAATATGGTGAACTTTGGCGCCAGGTCCTCTCCAAGGTTCATGATGGAGGCGACGTTGCCGCAGCGATAGCAGTAGTTGGGAGCGCTCCAGACAGTGACAACGGACTTGTCTTCGAAGTGCCACTGCACAGAGGATTAGCTTGGGAAGATTTTGTTGCGATGAAAGCAAGCCGTACCTTGTAGCCTTCATTGACGAGTTGATGAGCACGGGCAATAAGCTGAAAGCCGTTGACGTGATTAAATTCCGTAGCGACCTTGTTGCCAAACAGCCACCCTGCACCACGCGGGGATACAGCCCAAGTTCCAACGTCTTCAGGATCACTCCAGACCAAATCACAGAAAGCGCCTTCGTGAGGGATCTCCTGAGCTCGAGCAATGACGCGTATTTGGTCAAGGGTACGAATTTCAGGACTCAGACCACCGTGGACGCAGAGCACTTTGCCGTCAATGACTGCACCGAGGACTAAGAAATCGAAGACTTGGCAACATGCTTTCCAGACCGAGGCATTACCATACTTTTGTTGGCATTCCTCGTAAAATCCGTAGACCTGTGTGATCTGGCGAGATTCGTGGTTGCCCCGGACGAGGGTCACGCGATCAGGATATCTAGCCGGGTTTTAGCTAAAAGACATTGATGGGGATAATACTACTGACCTAGCCTTGAGACACAGAAGCAGAGTCAAAGTTTCCAAGCTGAAGTAGCCGCGGTCGACGAAGTCTCCCAGGAAGATGTAATTTTGGTTGCCCGGGATTGCAGTACTACTACCCTCTTTCTCAACGCCCAAGGATGCTCCGTGACTGCTCTCCCGCTTACGCCCACGCTCTTCCTCCTCGTCGCCATCGTCGTCGTCGTCACCACCACTGCCCGTACTGGTCTCGCCGTCCTTCTTCTCCTTCGATCGGATCTTCTTCTTAAGCTTGGGGTTGGTGATCTCGGTGGGCGGCTCAATATCATCGGAGGTGATAACGCCAGTAGGAGCTGGTGATGGGGTGGCGCGCACATGACTCGGAGCACCTCCTGCGACGCGGAAAAGTTCGATGACATCGTAGAATTGGCCATGAAGATCGCCACAAACAGTTACTGGAGTCGAGACGGGCTGGATGTTGGACTCTAATTGAGGTTCCAATTTAGTTATTCTGTGTATGAGAGAGACTTTGAATGCTCACCCTCCATAAGAAGCTCCTTGCAAATCTCACAAAGCTTCTTCATCGTCGCTTCGGGCAGATACTGATTGTTAAAAGCACATTTCAGCCACTCGTCAACGTCGGCGTTCTTGGTGAGCCTCGCAGGCCCTGGCCGGGGTGGCTTCTTGCCCTCCGGCATACTTCAGGCTTGAGACGAACGAAAAATCCCAAGAAGCCCTTCTTGGACAGATTGAGGAGTGAGATCGATAATGCCAGGCCCATGTTGCCAACCGCGGAGCTTCTTCGGTTTCGCTGTATCGTTTTTCCGGATTCAGGCTCAATACAGTTAGACTAAATGTATATGTAAATGCTAGCACAATGAACACCATCAAATAATCTGCGTTTCAACCCATGATGGGTACTGTGTTCTGCACTTGTGAGAAGAGGCGAAACACGTGACGGAGAAGCAGATCAGAACACTCTTCTTTCTACCGGGACACCAGCAGTCACCGCAGCCATGACCTCGCCAATTTCAGCTCCCCGTGTTACCATAGCTCGACCCGCTCGCTCAAATGGAGTACTCTCAATCCCAGCATCTGCCACGCAGAAAAGAAGTGGACCAGACTCAGAAGGATTGATGTCGAAGCCGGCGACCACGAGGCTAAAACTCATCGTAAGACGGCTTCCACCAGGCTTGACACAGGCGGAATTCGAAGAAGCTCTTGGGGATGATTGGAAAGTCAACGGAGGCAAGGTAGATTGGGCAGTTTACAAGGAAGGAAAGGTATCGAAAGAGTATGGGGGCACTTCAAGAGAACTCAGCTGTAAATCCAATGCTGATCCAAGCTACTCAGTCCTGCCAAACCCTCGCGGCCCAGCCGTGCATACCTGCACCTGACGAAGCAAGATCATCTAAATTTACTCTCTGAGCATGTCCGAAATACCAACTTTATTGATGCGAAGGCTTCTTCCAAAGACCCTGCGTTACTTGGACCGCCATCAGTCGAATTTGCGCCCTATGGTCGTGTCCCTAGCAGCAGGCCGCGCAAAGACGCTCGTCAAGGCACGATCGATCAAGACCCCGAGTTTATGGATTTCCTTCAAAGCTTGACCAATCCTCCTGCAAAAGCTGTCCACACGGATCAAGAGAATGGCGGTGTAGGAAAAGTCAAGGACAAGGTCACCACAACCCCTCTAATTCAATTCCTCAAGGACAAGAAAGCCAATAAGGGCAAAGAGAACGCTACGGCCCCGAAAGGCGCCAAACATTCACGTCAAGACTCCAAAGATAGCAAGTCCGCTGCGGTTGCAGATTCCAAGAATGCCACCGGCAATGTTACGGCGTCTTCTCCGAAGAAGCGCAGCGCACAAGCTGTCAAAGTTGAACAGGCTGCTCGTGATGCTGTTAAAGTGTTGAACAAACAAGCAGCAACTGCAAAGCAAGGAAACGTATCCCCCAGCCCATCGAAAACCGTTCCTGCTCCAACAAATCCTGCTGTGACGCCGAACAGCACAGCCAATGCTGCACTCGCCGACAAGAAGCGCGAACGTGGGAATGCTAGTGCCGCAGCGAAAATACTACAGCGAGATCTGGGCTTAGGTGGACATCCTGGTGGCCGAGGTGGAAGACGAGGTCTCCTCGGTAATGTAGTGAACAGACCTACGCCTGGGAATGCTTCGCCTGCTGCAAAGGCTCCAGGAACTACACAAACCACACAGCCAGCCATTTCTACGACTGGAAATTCTGCAGCGACATCTACGGATGCAATCGATGTTTCGGTTGCTCCTGTTCCAGATGCAGTGCCACCGCCAGCCCGCAATCTGCCACCTTCAGGGCCAGCGGCTTCAAGAGGCCCAACCAAGGCTTCTGCATCTATGCGCGCCACTCCTTCAGGAACCGGTCCAGCCTTCTCAAAGCCCACAGCGCCTCCCTCGACCGCTACACAAGCATTCCTCAAGCATGCAAACCCGTCTCAAGGGATTACTGAACCTTTGCTAGATGAAGCATTCGCAGTCTTTGGCGCAATCAATAAGGTGGAGATAGACAAAAAGAAAGGCTTTGCATACGTGGACTTTGTAGAACCCGAAAGCTTGCAGAAAGCCGTCAAGGCAAGTCCAATCAAGGTGGCCCAAGGTCAAGTGGTGGTGCTTGAGCGGAAGACTGGCCCTACATTGCAAGCTAGGAATGTGAGGGGAGGTGGGCCGATGCTGGGGAATCGTGGAGGAGGGATACCGGTAGGAAATAGAGGGGGAGGGATGCCAGTGGGTAACCGAGGCGGATCTATGAGGGGGAGAGGCGGATTTGGCAGAGGAGGGAATAATTTCCCAAACGCCAACAACGCGAAAGGCACGAACGCAACAGCAACGACAGCAACGACAGCTTCAACTCCTGCATCCAACGCTTCGACGACGTCGGCAGCGCAACCAGCAACCGAAAGCGCTTCCTCCCATCCGGCGGCTCAATCATCTGATGCAAGCACAACTTCTTAGGCCCTACTGCACCCTCGGATTATATGATTATGCTTAGGCACAGCTTACAAGCAAGCGAATTCGGGGACCACGATGAAGATTTGGCCCATGGAGGTAGTCATTCTATCATTACGGCTTCGAGATGAGATTCGGACCTCGGCATCGAGACCACAAAGCTGAGAGCAGCTGCTCCGGAGTGCGCGATCAGCAGGAAGGCGATGGATCAAATGAATCCTCATGGGGACGAAGGATGAGGAGAACAATGAGGGATCGACTGCGATCGAACAGAAGCCTCCCGTCAATCAGATAGTCCATCGGTCATAGTCCATATGATCAGGCAGTCCGTTCCTCTCACAAATCTACTAAAGCTACCCGTAAGAGTTGAATCAGACCACTGTTGAGGGGTTGACAACCTTCAAGAAGTATCGATGATTCATGCACTTTACGAGAATCCACCGAGGTACTCAGTCAAGATTGCCTCCAATGATAGGTACAACAATGCTCTCAATGAAGTCTAGGTACGGATTGTCCTTTTGGGTAACTTCTGCGGTACCTCCGTTTTTTCCACCGCCATTTGCCTACAGCAACGCCATGTTACAGGTCCACCAGGTCTGAAGAAGCGCTCCAAACAATCTCTCGCACGCAGCAAGCGAGCGAGCTGACAATCGCCATCCTTCAGATGTACCCCCATCAGCCTCTACACCGTCGGTTTCGTTTCAGCCTTTCCCCAGTCCGATCCCCAGTCCCCCACACGTCGCGCCGCACCCTTGCCTGCTCCGCAAATCTCACTCATGCTTACCGAGATGGTACCGAATTAATTGGCATATAAAAAACCACATCATTATAAGGCCCCTTTGCATATAAAATACCGTTCAAAATAACGGTTTTCAGACGTAGGCCATAATTAGACTGTAAGATAGGGGTCCTAGTAGCCTGCTGAGTAATGGTACTTTATTGTACTAGGCCCCCAGGGTAAAATCAGAAGTACCCTCACAGTAGCAAGGCAAGTAGAATAATGAGTGGTCGGAGTAGGTACAGGCCATTTGCGGTACACTACGCCCCCAAATCAGGTATTATTTTCCCGTCTAAAAAGAGCGTCTCTCCGAGCTCTCTGATTGGCGACAGCGAGCTTAATAAGGCCATTGACTAGCGCCTTAGGCCATACGATACCACAGTGTTATAAGGCCCCTTTACATATAAAATACGGTTCCAAACGATGATCAGATGGACGCTTCGGCTATATGGTAGTATCTTATATGCCAATTAATTCGGTAGGTATTTCTCACTCATCGAAAGGCTTATGAAATCCTGCGAGTCATCACTGCCACGCGATTCCGTACCCCAAGAATAGATTATGTAAAGTAGTAGTATCTAGTAGTAATCCGTCATCGCCCCCCCCCCGAATCCGTCTCACTTCCCCGCAAGCCAATCGGCTCGCGCCGTCGCCTAGAAGTAAGTACCTTGTACCTCCCGCACGGTCTCCGAACAAGGTAAACGAAAGATATGGGCGTCCACCGATTATCATCAAACGTGCCACAGATCAGCTTCGCTTAGCATTCTCGTACCGAGATTCGAGAGGGAGGACCCTATCGCATTTCGTCTCCGCCTCGCACTCGTACCCTACCTACCTAGGTACCGTACCTCTCGGGCCAAAAAGCAATAACAAGATACCCAAAGTAACGAATGGAAATGGCGGTGACTTCGGAGCTCCGGGCCGACGCACCACACCGCCCTCCATCAACTTCGCGCCCTACGGATTCCCCCATTCGCTTCAACCGGTTTTCCTAAGTAGGTAGTCAATCAAGAAGGCAATCAAGGTTTTTTTTCCTTGTCCTTCTGGCTCTGATGACCATCATCATTATTATACATTCTGCTGCGTTGTTACTCTTCTTTTCGCCCTGATCGATACTTCCAGATCCGTCTCTTTCCGCGCGACTTTTGGGCCTCTGCGACCCAAAAGGGTTCCGGGGCTCCCCAGGGGAGTGAGTGTCTTCGTGCCCAATACACCGCAATGAGTCATTGATGGTGGGAAGTAGCCGGTAGCGTCGGGCGACGGAGGGATTCTATATGGTCGTTTGCTTCTCTTCCCCCGTTCTCGTAATCGTAGGCAGCTACTTGGGACATACTTTGATGTGATTACGGGGGGGGGCTTTCGCGAAGATGACACCGCTCCTTGCTTATTCGTCGCGTTGCATTTCGTTTTCTAATCTTTGCGCCCCCCCCCCCGGCCGGTTGCGAGGGTATGGATATTCATGCTTTTGAGAATCCTCGCGGATCCCGACAAGCTGAAGGGGGCGCTCCTGGTTTTTGGTGGTGTGGGTTGGTGTGGGATGATTCAGGTTGCATCGGACCGCTACTTAACTTTTACTTACTCTCTACCTGCCTGCCTTACTTACCAGATGGGCTGAGTGAGCGAGCGTGCGTTTGCGCCTTATTGATGACGGTGACAGGACTGATATGTAAGGGAGGTGAGGAATCAGTTTTAAAATAATTATAATACTACTACTACCTTCTCCTGCAAAAGGATCCCTCAATTCTCAAACATCTGCTTTGCCAGGTTACATATCTGCGGAGCCGTTTACCCCGGTTTGTGTGTTTACAATCGTGCTCAGCTCGGAAAGTGATGCGACGTGCCGCACCGCAGCCAGTCATCTTTTTCTTAGCTACCTGACGCACTCGAGTGCGACAAAAGAGTATTTGTTGCGGGTTCGGACATCAAACTGGATCTGTTTGTGAAACATCTGTGAGGAAAACGTCTGGCGCGGTGGAAAATTATTACAAGTTATAGCATGTGGCCTTGGAAAAGTCAGGCGATGCATACATCAGTGTTGCCTGATTCCGCAACCCTTACACCTTGCTCTGCCTCACCTTTACCTTTGCGCCAACCTCGTTCTCGTCAAAGTCAAGCCGACGATATGGGCTCCGATGATAGCAGCAGCGAGCGCTCGCTCTCTGCCTCGCCGTCACCAAATTCACGACATCGCTTCCCTTCGCTCGCCTTTGCCGACGCCATCAATATCCCCTTCAAGTCTCCAATATCGCAGCCATCGACCACATCATCCTCTCCCGAATTCTCTCCATCTCCCATAACACCACCGTCCTCCTTCAGCAGTCCAGCCTTCGCAAGCTGCGCATACCCCGACTGGCCACAACGCGACATCCTCTCCCCAAACACCACTTCAAATTGTGGGTCCCAGGCCAACTCTTACATCTCCGATGACGACCTGCTCGATCTTGCGGAGCTGGAGCTTATCGGCGGGATGAGGATCCCGTCCGATATGCGAACAGAGTTTATCCCGTGGGAACAGACCAGGCAGCCGCCACTGGTGTTGCAGTCCTTGCCGATGGTCAAGAGGAAGGCCCAGCCGGCGCCGAAGAGGAGAAGAAGAAGCTCGCCGTTGAAGAGGAAGAAGGTTGTGCTTGGGATGAGCCCGATTGCTGAGGCGCCGGAGTGATGCACATTGGATGCTGGTACGCCGCCCACCCTTTCGTACCTCTCTCCTGCAGCTTGCTAAACACATCCAGGTCCCCCCAACGGCCGCATTACCATTATTGGGTGAAACGGTAACCATCCCAGACATTTTGAGCTGGCAGTGCAGCTGCGGATGCTGCAGACCTCATCATCGGTACCTTTAGCTGCAGGTTTCTGATGCACCTACCGCATGCCGCAGTGACTCATCTTCCTTGCTTCTACAAAGGGGAGTGGACGGTGTCCCTGTGAAAGCCCCCAGGAGTGCAGCGCAGTGCATGGCAATGGAGCAACCTCGAGCGAATCGCCATGACCGCGCCCAGAGCAAAATTGTGGTGACCTGCTCACGAAGTGTCGCGCCTTGAAACGAGGTCCAGCGTGCTACGCCTCCTGAGTTTCGGACATGCTCTGGAGATTCGTCATCCATCGTCGTGTCCTCTTTCGGCGAAACCGTCACTCAGTGGCTTCGCGATTGATCGCATTCGTACTTACGGTTAAGAGGATGACTCTGAGGAGCGAACTTAAAATAATTGTGAGGGAAAAGATCGTCAGCATTTCATCATACCCGAGCGGCTACGGGCCCTTCGGGCGGGGAAAAGGGTGAGGGCGAGCCTGCCCTGCCCTGCCCTGCAAGCAAAAGGAGGCTGGGCTAGTTAGTCCCTGCTTCTTTTGCGATCTATCTTGGGCCTCAATGCATCCGTAGGGGGCACTGCTGGCTCTTTATCGTTGAGGGAACATACTCGGTATTGAATGAGGAGGATGAAACATTTACCTACCAGCCGTGGTGTGAAGCTTCGATATGTTTTTTCGCAGAGAGGCGACAGCGATGCGTGGATCAAGCAGAAGATCTGGGGAATGGTGATTCGCACAGCGAGCGGGGAAGGCTTGAGGATGGATATGAGCGGTAGCAAATAGGAACAAATCATCCAGTGCTAAGATGTGAGCGCATATAACTACGAGAAAGGATTGTGATGAGTGACTCGTAGAACTTGTACCTTCCCTAACAGTGTGATTCGATCAGGGTCCGAGGGTGCATGTACCAATCGCTTCGGCTCTGTCTCATGTGCTTCCAGAAGATTTCCTTCTCCAGCTACCTTACCCATCCCCCCCACCTTACTTACCCTTCCCCCCCCCCATCAACGCTGATAACGTGATCAAAACAAACCCGACAAATTCACAAATTCACACAGACTTTCAGATTTTCAGGAACAATCTTGAATTGAACAAATAGTGGAGCCATGTGGATAGCCAAAGCCATGTTGTTGGGTTACTTACTGGGTATGGGTATCATGCTCTTCTGTCTCGCAGCAGATTGGGCGTATCTCTCATCACGAGCTCCAAATCTTCAAATCTTGCCCGTCCTCCGAACAGTCGCTACCAATTTAATCCCTTCTCTAAGCGCTGCGCTTTGCCTGGAAGAGTCAAACGTCCTGCCACTCTAATGTCGGACCACGTTCAATCATTGAAGGAAAGTGCCTGCGAGGGTTCTCATTGGCGCAAGTGTGACGAAGCTTGCAGCCCGCTCTGACCAATCCCATCCTTGATACGCCTC